TTTCTGTGTTGGGTCTATTCTCCCTTTGGGAGCTTAATTCTCCTGTTGGGAGCTGAATTCTTCTGTTGGGAGCTTGTGAGCGTGTCGTGCGTTTCGATTAGGCTGCCTTTTAGGCTCTCCTCCCTAGGATGACTAATGTGTAGTTGCTCATTCCAGCTATTACCGGTTGTCATCTGTGTGTAAATATGTGTTTTTATTTATAAAATTATGTCGTTGGAAAAAAAAAATGCCCTTCTTAGTTCAGCTGGTACTGCAATACGACCTAATGAATCTGAGTCCGAATATTTTGAGTTCGTGTTAAGATTATGTCTCAACATAACTAATGTTCGTTTGTTTATTAATCTAGCAAAATAGAATTTGTTCGAATAGTTTTGATAAACAAACTTATTAAAATTATTTGATTACTTCGAGATCAGCTCGTTCGAAATTGTTTAAACTTAAAAATAGAAAGTAGAAGAAAAATCATATTTAAGTTCTTTTATTAAAATATAATATATATGAGATGAAGTCGCTAAGAGTGAAGCGATGCCGTATTTGGAGCCATGGCCACTGGAATGTAGACTGATTACACCTCCATCGACTACTCTGACGCTTGTGAGTTGTCTTACATCGTTTATATAGGGAAAATAGACATAATTTATAAGTCTAATGAGTTACTCTTCCTTCCACCAATTGGTTTTTTGATGGAACCTCACTTGGGCTTCATCTGGACTTTCCCTGCTCATGATGCGTTTCACGTGAGTGGGACCGCACTCGTTTTTCCCTTGTTTCTTATGGTATCAGAGTCGGTTCTATTGGGACCGTGTGATATGATGATGTACCCGTTTACCCAGCTTATTTCTAGTAGGGCTTGGGCGGCACCCGACTCCGTATATGGGCTTGGGCTTCTTATGAAGGACTCACAAGTGAGAAGGCGTGTTAGAATATTCACTTGTGAGTTGTCTCACATTGTTTATACAGGGAAAATAGACCTAATTTAAAAGTTTAATGGGCAACTCCTTCTTCTACCAATTAGTTTTGGGATAGAACCTCACTTGGGATTCATCTGGACTTTCTCTGCTTATGGTATAAATATTATTGAAAGTATAATAGCATTCTTTATATTTTACATTTTTAGATGATTTTTTTTTAAAATGTATAGTAATTTACTCTTTTCGTCTCTTAATTGCAACTCAATTTAATGATTTATAAAATCTAGAATTTAGTTGGATTGTTAAATTTTTTAATGTTGATTTTTTACTTTATTTTTTTTATGTAATCACATATTTTCAAATTTATTTATTTTTTATTAGTAAAATAGTTATTTGGCAAGCTCTCGTCAACAAAAAAATGTTATGCAATGTGTTGTAAAAGTTTAATGTAAGTCAAATTTTGAACAAAGAAACTTATTTTTTTCATAAATTAATAAATTATAGATCTTAAACTTTAATTATAAATACATAAAATCTCATTTTTTTCTCTTAAAAAAAGTTTGAGGGTGAAATCGATTCTAAGTTTTTAAAACTTAATGGTACACATATCAGTATCTATATTTATAAATGAACACAACTTTATATGAAATGAACGTTTCTACGTAAACTACAAACCCGTTATTTAACATTTAAAATTGGGCCCCTGGATAAAAATCCTAGCTCCGTCACTGCGGAGTATGATGGGAGCGTTTGGTGTGTGGCGCGGGCTACTATACCATACTGTGGGGACAAATCAAAGATGAGGAAATACAAAAGCTAGAACACTAGGGCATGAATTCTACGTCGGATGACAACGAAAAAGGAAAATTAGAAAAGTTGATTTTTTTTTTCTTGATTTTGTGTGTCTTTTTAATATATTATTGTGAATTAAGTGCTCAAAATTTCACAAGAGTGAAAAGTCTTGGTCGAACAGAGATTTTGAAGTGTTTTGTTTGACTATATATGCAGAAAATATATGGCTATGGAATTGTTTTCAAAGGTTGTTGCCTAATTAAAGATGTGTTGATTAAAACTCTTGAGGGAGAGCTTTGCTGCCCTTGTGGTCCTATCTGGCTCGATTCCGGATTAATCGGTTTCCTGTGTATCCAGAAACCAGAATGTCCCTGTACCAAAAAAAAAAAAAGACGTGTTGATTATGCTATTTTCAGTTAAGAGGGTCGTTTAAAGTGCTAGTATGTGTATGAAAATAAATATTAGTACAAATCGACCATATCATTAATTGGTCAATTAATGATGAAATTATATTAAAAATTATTATTGCAAAAAATAAATGGCATAAAATTACTAAAATTACATACGATATTTTACTTCTAGAAGAACAACATTTTCCAAGATTTCTAACCAAACCAACACAATTTTTGTCAAAACTCATCACTTTTTGCTCCAATGCTATAATATATGATGTTTATGTAACCCTATCATCAAAAGTGAAAAACAATAAGGTATCAATAACCCTACATATGATCAAGACCCAAATATCATCTTTTCTCCTTGTTTTCAATTTCCCATCTCTTGATCACATCTAACAAAATCTCGTTCCACGTATCGATTGGCCCGGGCAGGCACCAGTGCACGCAGTCGTTTGGCACCCGCTCGGAAACTCCATTCGCAAACGGGAACGGATTCATGTAAGGCCCAGGATGCCCGTCGGGCCTCAACAAGGTCAATTTAGTAATATCAAGCGCCTCGAGCCTCACGTTATTCCCAGAATACCCCCCAACCCTCAATTTCGTCTCTCTCACTTTTCTCACCCCAACCTTCCACATCTCCTTGTTTGCGCCGTCCAAAGCCATTTCGCTCTCCGAGTAAGGCCTAGTCTTGGAACACGCCCCGAATTTGTCCCACTCCCCTTCGAAATGTGCGGGCGGAAAAGTGGTCAAGAAAACAGAAATCAGACCAGTCTTCAAACTGCGCAACTTCGACTCTGATACCACTCTTTCCAGTGCAGTCCCCAACGCCCTACCATAAACGTCGTAGAACCCAATTTCCGTGCAGTTTTCACGTAAATGACAACCGAGAAGGGTATTGTTGTAATAATAAATCGCCGAGAGCAAGTACCAATGGCCAAAGGACAAGACAAGCATGTCGATGCTTCCCAAATCCCGCGCCCACCTCTCGTCTGCGGACTCCAAGTACAACGTGTTGAAATCTCGATCATTTGTCTTCTCAACCCCTTCGACTAGAAACGGGGACCAATAGATGGAAATGTTGACATTTTCGGGACTAAAGTGCCATTTTCGGAACTTGTTGTCTTCTCCCTCAGACCAATAGAGGTTTGGTTTTGACACGGTGGCAAGCATGCATAAGAGCGACTCGAGCTGGTTTCTAGCCAATGAGTCGCCCACAAACGCCACGTGGCGATTCTCGAGGAGTTTGAGGAAGGTTTTCGGGTCAAACCTCGGGAGGTTGCAATTTTCGGGCTTCCACCGCCAGTAAAGGTAGTCGGTGTCGGGCCGGCCATGGGCCATACATTTTTGGCCGTACTTGATCGTGTCGCAAGTCGTGCCGTTGTACATAGGGCCCACATTGTCCGGTACCCATTGGCCTTTGGTGTAGTCGCATGTTGTTGTCCAAAGCTCGCTTTTTTCGCTCGATCCTTGTGCTGAAATGTTCAAAAATACATTAATAGACTTATTACTAGGCGAAATTTTTGTGTCATCTTAAATAAAACGAATCACAATCTCAAATTCATTATAATTTGGTAACTATTTGTGAAAATTTTATAAAATTTGTAAAAAAAAATACACTAATTTCACGAAATATAAACTATAAAATTAAATTCGATTGAGTTTTTTACCGTTGGATCTGATCGCGGATAATTATATATACGTACCTCGTGAAGATGAAGATGAAGATGAAGATGAAGATGAAGATGGAGGAGAGATTGTGATGCGATTTGTGGAAGGTAAATAATTATCAGGTGGTGAAAAAGAGATGGGATTAATGTAAAAATGAATGAGGAGAAGTGAAAAAAAGGCGTAAAAAATATAAGGTAATTTCTTTAGCAGAGAGTCATTTTGTGGCTGATCTTTTACTATTGGATTCTTTGATGATCTCATTTTTTAGTTTTTTGTTCCAAAGATCGAAAACTGGAGAAAACAAAAATGGAGAGAAAAATGTTTGTGCTTGAAGAGAGAAATTAATAGATAGGAAATTAAAAGATCGTGGGATTTTATTTGAATTATTATTATTTTGGTTAATATTGGGAGAGGTTAATTTATGGGTGATTCAGTCAAAGTAAACCGAGTATATTGTGGATTAAAGCACTTTTTTAGTACATACTAGTAATCCATGTGCGATTCACGGAAAAATTATAATTTATGTACTTTTTCGAAGGTAATTTATATATAGCCACAATAAAATTGAAAAGACATGGCTGTTAATAATAATAATAATAATAATAATAATAATAATAATAATAATCAACTACAATAACATTTGTTTAATTGGATATAAAATAAAAGAAATGTTATAGGTACATAATATTGTACATGCAGGCGTAAATAGCACTCATATTGAGTGAGACCCACCAAAAATAAAAAAATCAAGTGGGTCTCATTCCATATGAGTATTATGTACACCTATATGTACATTTATTATATACTTGTAACATTTTTCATAAAAATATCAAGTATTGGACTATGTTCCATAACATCGATATTAATTAAACAAACATTAGGCCATAAGTCTGGATTTTCAGGGTTTTTATTTCATTTTTTCCTATCCTTCCCCGACCAATTTTCTATGTCGTGTCGGTCGTCTCTTTTTTTTTTATTTTTTTTTTACTGCAGAAATTGAATGTTTCTAAACAAATAGATCACATATATTGTGATTTGTACATTTATGTTTAGATTAATTTAAAATAAGAATTTGAACAAATTGTGTTTTGATTATAAGATAAGTCCAAATGATTTGAAAAATAATTAATTAGTTAAGTCGTTAAGATTTTTTTATCCGTGTAGAAAGATGACCAATTAGTACACATGTGTCATAATTAAACGTCATTTTAAGTTTTTTGAATAATTGTGATTTAATGATAAAATAAGTTGAAATGATTTAGATAATTAATCAATTGATTGAGTTGTGTTTAGATTTTATAACGTGTTTTAACTTGCCCATTACACGTGTTTCCTCATTAACTCAATTTTTGTTAATACTATAGCATGATAAACTATATTATTATATTATTTAATGTCAAATATTAAGGACTCTTATACTAATTATGTTGTTTAAACTTGCTTCAATTATGATAACTGAGGTAAGTACACGTCTTGTTTAAATTATGATAATATAAGTGTACATGAACTGTATTATAAATTATTGGTTTATTTGTCTAGAAGTTTAATTAATGTGGAAACTTTATGATAAGATTGGTGTGAAATTTTCATAAATGCAATTCTAATGTGGTCCTAAAATATTTGATTTTCTGTTACAATTTCTATCAATTGTTGGATTGACTCAAATATCAATTTTTTAATTAATTTGTTTTGAAGTTCGATCATTATGGCTCTTACCCTTATGGTTTTTATCCATTGTTTTAAATAGTCTAAACATAGAAAATCAACTTATTTATTTATTTGGTCAAAATTTCTAAAAAAATGAATTTTCCAACAACCTCTTTATATATAGATATATAGATAAGTCTTTTAGTGATGATTTTGTGTCCCTTCACAGGTAAACCCTAATTATATATATATATAGATAAGTCTTTTAGTGATGATTTTGTGTCCCTTCACAGGTAAACCCTAATTTTCCACACGTCTCTCCGCACCGACTTAATATATCTTTTGCCGAGATTTTACAGTTTTGTTACGGAACCATTCCGTCGAAATTGTAACCGTTAAATCAACTATCCACGATGATTACAAAATCCCGACGAAATAGTTCCGTAACGAAACTGTAACATATAACTTAACTATATAACTTAAATTAATTGCATACATATAACTTAACCATGCCTATTATATAATATTGAAACATTGCTTGGTGTCTAAATCTAAAGACGAATAATTTAGAATGAATTTAGTGAATGAAAGTAATATTATCAATATAACTAAATAATATCAATCGATCATTCTTACACTTTACATTAACTCTAATTTATTATTCATCCACTTGTATAATTTTAATTAATCATCATTCCACATCATCTATCTCCCTACATTTTTATATCAAATCAACGTTAATAAGATTTATTTTATATATTATTTTAATATAAATTTAAAATATTACTAACAAGTAACTGTATCAACTTTTTTAAATTAATTTTAATAATCAAAATCTATAGATTTGAAAGAAAATAAATTCAATTGATCAAATCTTTTTAGCATCAACCTTTTGAATTTAGATTAGACTTTGGATGAAATATAATTATGGTGGTCGGAATTTAATTTGGAGTATCATCATTGCTCCCGTCAGAAAAATCTCTTTTATATATCAAAGAGAAAAGTACTATTTTTTAATTACATTAATTAACCTGTAAAAATATAAAAATAAAATAATAAAAATTTCCATACCCTAACCCAAGGTCGGTCGTTAATATTTCTATGGTATGTTATTGTAAGTATAAATTTTACTAGTAGTGTAACATGTGTATATTAAAAAGGTGCTAATAATGAAATTATATTTAAATGATTTTTTTAAAAAAAAAATATGATTTTTTATTTTAAACATTACGTACATTGAAAATATATTAGTATTATTTTTATTTAAAGTGATACTCGTCGTATAGACAACCACAAAGAGATAAAACCATTCGATTGTCCTATAGAAGAATAAAAAAAAGAAAGAGAGAGAAAATGCGTTAAAAGAGAAGAATAACATGAGAGAGATAAGTTATTGCTTCAAATTTTGATTTAGTTTGTATAATTAATAACTTCATTTCTATCAGTTTCGGAATTCTATATATTCTCTTTTTGTAATGGTTTTTTGTTTTAATATGTCCTGAAGCTCAAATATCATTGTACATTTGCTACTACAAGCTTCTTGTAACTAACCCTCAGAGGCATAATAATATTATGGAAAAATTTTATAACTACCCCACTTTAAGAAAAATATTCCGTGAGAATTAACGGTCATACATAGTTCCGTAGTCACGATTAGGCAAACAAAAAAATATAAAAAAAAATGCAAATTTTAAACTTAAAAAACAAAAGAACTCATTCAATCGTTTCAGAAAAAATAGTATGACAACAATTTTGAATTTGAAAAATAACTGCTTACAGCTGACAATCATGAACAAAAAAAGAAATCAGAAAAACATAAATCCTTCAGAAAAAAATCTCGATTCATTCAAAATAGAAATCCAAAGAAATAAAAAAGTTGGAATAAAAAACGCAAAACAAAGAAGAAACATTGAAAGTTATGATTGGTAGGGAAAGTGTGTATTTTATATATTTATTTACGTATTTTTATATGCTTAATTTTATCGCACTTATATGTTTTTTCCGACTCATTTATTTATTAGATGGATGTGAGTGATTTGATATATTTATGGTTTACTTTTAGGATATTCGATTAAATTGAGAACTGTGAAGCAGATGATGAAAGTTTACGCGACCAATTATCACAATTAGCCCATTAATACCCTAGTTAGGCCCACTTCATTTAATGGGCTTACTATGTTTTTTTTTTTCTTATAGAAAGAAAAAAAAAAGTTAATGAGCTTGGGGGATAAAAATACTCACGTACAGGACATGAATTATTGGGCCGGACATTTGTTTTACTTGAGGAAGGAATAATTGATGAAAAATGTCAAATGTAAAATATTTTAAAAAAGGCCAATTTACACGCATGCTACACGATTTAAGATTAATTGCAAACCTACGACTGACTCCAACAATTTAGCAACCATACGAAAGGACTTTTATTTGTATTTATCCAACATTATCTCTTACCAAACCTGTAGCGATTTTGTTTCCTTTTTTTAAGGATCATTGATTAAAAAAAAAAGAACTAAACATGGAAATAATTTATAACAAAGTAGCTCTCGCGTAACAAAACTCGACGATTAAGACTGTAAAAATATTTCAAAATTTAAATTGGTATATGTCGGAGTTGGGAATAAACTTCAAAGGAAATAATGTCTTTATGTATGATATTTATACATATTATAAACAAAAACTTCACCACAAACAACAACTGCATGCTAAGAAGCATATATGCCAAGAACAAAACGCGAATATTAAAGAGAAAATATATATGTGTTTAACGAGAATATATACCACACATAAACACACTTATTAAGTTTTATAAGAAGTTTACTTACAAAACATATATTCCACATGTAGCTCACTTGTAAAATATTCTTGTAACTCAAAAATATTTAATGAAATTTATGTCTAGCTCATTTTCATATCTAGCTCAATTTTAGTTTATTGTTGGTTTATAAACCAATATAAGAATAAAATTATAAACTTATATAAACCAATACAAGAATAACAACATAGATTTATATATAATTTATTTTCAGTTTATTATACAAAAATATGTACTAAAAATTTATATAAATCAATAC